CACTATATCCATAATCCAACTCGTATCGAAGAACAATTGAAACAATTGAAACAGTTATGGGAAGATATTGAAATAACCACCAATCAGCGACCTGACCTGATGGTTTAAAAGCCGATCATCTTGTAACATTTGATGAACTTTTTAACACTCTACAATACATTCATGATTGTGTTAAAACCAAAGATCCACCAATACAATTTATCGATGATATATTTCAATCATTACAAGGCACAATCAACGAGAATTTAACCAATAAAGGTGGTTGCTCTCCTTTTATCGAATTATCTTGTTGATGATGCAATTACCAGACAGTTTTCATTTAATCAAAAGAGTTATCTCTTGACAGATGGCGGCGCTCAACTCTTTGAACAGTTACCAAACCAAGTCAAAAGGTGACTGAGCTCACAATACAAATGAAAAACAGTTATGAGCTATGCTCATTCACCAATCTATCAACATTTTCGCAATGCAATTGTGCTCTGAATACTGTCCGTGTTGTAATCGTCCGTGTGTCGCGGATCATACAGCAACAATAGCTAATACGAGTTGTGAAGACAACAGACGTTGTTGCCAAATTGGTTATCAATTTCGCGGGTATGACCGGCTACAAATTTGAAGTTTCAAACGAAGCTTCATTATTCATATGCGAAGATTTGAGAGACAAACAAGTGTTAATAGTAAATGGTGCGAGAAAAACATGGACCAAGTTTAAGAACGATCATTCACATTGGAATTTTGATACGACTAACCTTAATAAGAACGAGTTAAATAGATTAGCGAGAAGTATGCAATGATATGACAGAAGATTGGTAAAGAATTATACCAAAGCCATGGAATGGAATATGTAATGCACAACTCCAATCCAGCAGGAACTATACCATATCATTTTATTTTATTATTAGATGGCTCAAGTTCGATGAAAGGCAAGCCCTGATTTGATATGATTGATGCTGTCGGTGTATTGTATTCGATTGCCCAAGGAGGCAAATACGGACGATCGAGTCACAATCCTTGTCGTCGCCGATTACGTGACACGAATTTATATGAATCAGGAATTAAAAGGTGTCGATGTTATCCGAATACGACGTCTAGATAAAGGGACTAAATTCGCCGAGGCGTTCAGTTATGTTATACGAGTTATTCAACAGTTGCAGCAAGATCTCAGTTACAAGAAGTTTCAAAATGTGATTATTCTTATGAGTGACAGAGAAGCAAATTATTCAGATTCAGAATTAAACACATTACCTACTATATATCGTGGTGCTATAGCTAAATTTTGGACAGTTGTTCTGGGTGCAAAAGACAGAAATGTGTTATCATTAATAAATAAAACCATGCATGGTGAATACAAAAATATAAAAGAATCGTGCGATTTGGTTGAAGCTTATGTTGACATTGCTCAAGATAATTAGATGTGATCGCTCGTGTTCGAACTTAAATATTTATCTCGGAAAGGTCACAAGTTCACTGCCATATTTTTTGAAGCGTTAAAACTACTTAAGCCCATTTTTGAATTCAAACGAAACGAGAGCTAACCTAGATGAATAATAAACTAGTAATATGAGACATTTTCGTAATTCTTATTATCTTTATTTACTTTTTATTGATATTTTTAACGTATATGTGAACAAGAATATATATTCAAGAATAAAAAATATGTACTAGTGATTACAATCTTAATCAGCTAACAAAAATTTATCAGA